AACGAATAATAATCAGTCCTTTATAAATTAGTAGATATATTAAAGACTTAAATACAGAAATTGACCTCTACTGATGTTGCCTTAAGCTTCACTGATAAACTGGATCGTATATTCCCTGCAACCCTTTCCCCGTTTTTAATTATTATTTTTTGTGATATATGAGTGGGCTGACGCTAACTGTCGTTCGACGTTACGTGAACGCCCCCTATATAATAAATACAGTAGTAATATATTTTGTATAGACATATATATAGCTTTTCTGTAGATGGCATTAGCGACAAGTAGTTGTTGAATACATACATATAAGACAGCTTTTAATACTCTTTAACGTTTTGTGAAGATAAGTTGGTAGTATCAGTAGGTAATTGGTGTTTATATCATAAAGTTATTTCAAATTAGAAATATCATTTTATAAGCCAACAATGCGTCATTTGCGGGAGGTGTTACTTCACTATTTTATTAGAAATGCAAACGCTTCTAAGGCTCACTAAATGCTCGTACACGCTTATGGCGAGAATATTATATCTCTAAGAACATATGAAAGAAACTTTGTGCTATTCAGGGAAGGTGATTTCAACTTAGACAGACCTACTGTAAAACGACTAAATAAAGAACGGTTAATTGAAGAATTAGTGCGTCTAAAACTTGAAGATCCGAGTATGATTCAAGCAATGATGGCATCAATAGTAGGAGTAAGTGAAGCAACAGTTTCCAAATACGTAAGGAGTCAGGAATATCAAAATGAATAAAAAAACTACAGCAGGACCAAAGTTGTATACCTCTTGGTAATATATATGTATATATATTAAATACTAATATAATATATATATATATGTAATATTATTTTATATTATGGAGTTGTTAGAATAAGTAACCAAATTTGTTTCTCTGTAAAATAAGAGGTTATATTTTAACTGATATTATTAACAATATATACACATACAAAGTTCACCAATTACCTGTAAAATAAAAGAAACGACAATTAAAGTCAATTATTCGTCTCTCCCTACAACTCTAATTTATAACTGAATTATAATAATTTATTCCTAATGACTTTTATTAACACGTTTTCTTTCTTTTGTTCTACCTATCCGTTTCTAACTTATCATTCTGCTATATCCTCGATTACTCGACGAGRCCCCCATCAGGTGACCTAAAAGCGCGCGCAGAGCATATCAAGCGCGCTAAATTTTGAAGAAAGTATATTCTCTTTACATATATTTCAAGTTTTTGTATACAATATATATCCAGCTAAATATTTTATTCAACAAATGCCGATTGCGAATGTGTTAATTTGTTGTGCAARTATATATATAATATATTCGTATATTTATTAAACCTTTCGCTACGTGCGGTGACTATAGTCACCCAACGCCTGACGCTCGCTACGTACGGGCGGTGACCAGTGATCCCATTCGTACGATAATTATCGTACGCGTCACGTAATTTATAGCCTTGTACGATCCAAAATTCAGCCTGTACGATAATTTCGATTTTACGATAATTCAATATTAATCGATATTATTCGATATGTACTTAATTTTATCGATATGTCTCGAAGTTGTTTGTTTGGTTCACTCGCTTGCTCAGCGTCACGCGCCTCCCATTTCCCCCACCCCACTGCTGTCACAGTCACAAGTYATATATACTATAAACTACCACAGCCCAATAGAACACATGAGTCTGAAAGTTGATGACCTTTTTTTTTACTCATCAAATTTTGCAAACGAGTCAGTTGAACGGTTAACGTGAAAACAGAAGACACGAAGAAAATATGAAGATATAAAGAAAAGAAGCAAGAAGACAGAAGAAAACTGAAAAAACGGTTGGAAAAATTGCAAAAGATAGCAGYATAGCAGCATAGCAGCATTTGCATACCATCAATAACAGCGATAAAATCTAAACCTTCTTCTCTCTCATWTATAGATTWACATTTTACAGATTTTACATTTTTTCAGTTTTTACTTTTACAGTTTTTACATTTCTAAACATATTTCTAACATTGTGACGTCACAGAAGATCATACGACAAAAAAGAAGTTACTAATTTACCCGGTAAATATTTTAAAATTATTAACCCAGGTAATTTTTAAAGGATAAACATATTCTCAAAATTCAATCAAGTCTTTGTATTTTTGTAATCTATTTAATTAGTATTCTATTTATTCTGTCATTTTAATCTTAACACTTAGAACAGGACGACTTCTTCAACATATAGAACTGATTGAACAGATAGAACAGATTGAACAGATAGGACAGATATGACAGATAGGACAGATAAAATAGCCGCTACAGAATCTACTATAATTACAGTAAGTCAATAAAAATCTATGTAAACATATAGTGACATCACGTAAGATCGCACAAAAAAAAGTATGTTAAAAATTGACCAGGGAAATATTTGATAATTATTAATCCAGGTAATTTTTAAAGGATAAACATATCCTCAAAATTGAATATAGTCATACAATTTTTTTCAACAATTTAATTATTAGTCTATTTATTCAGTCATTTAACGCTATAAATTAATTATGTTATGCAGATTATTACTGTTGTAACATCATCTAATGAAGAAGTYCATGGTAAAAAAATATGACCTGATCATTTTATGTATTCAATTAWACATGTTTTATTTTAAGCTAAAAATTTATTCCCTAGGTAATAACGAACGTTTAGTTTTGCTGCTAAAAGAGAAGAGTACATTTTTATATCTATTATTGATTTTTAAGCATATTTTTAAAACTAATTTGGAAAGATATTTTGTAACACTTCTTCTTTAATTATTCAAGTTTTTATTTCTTTTGTATTTTTTATTGGTTATATTTACAATGACAGATAACACATCTCCTATGCAATTAAAAAAACAAAGCACACGGCGGCCACAAAAGTTCCGTAAGGAGTGGTTTAGTAATCCAAATTTTTGTTCATGGCTCCTGCCTCATTCTAACAAATTAAAAGCTCAATGCTCACTCTGCAAAGCAACAATCACTGCGGAGTTAACAGTTATTCGCAATCATGCGACGAGTAAATTTCATTTAATAATGTTAAAAGGTTTAACACGTTGACGCCGGCGCCGATTTTCAGTGTCTGCGCTGTGGGGCGGCACTCGAATGTAAGATGCGCTTCATCTGGCGGCGCGTGATTTTTGCCTGTTTATAACCTGGACCAAGGTGGACCACCGGTGGAACGCGCCGCCTGATGGAACAGTTAAGCGCGGGCCACCGGTAGTACAAGCYGCCCGATGAGGCAGTCTTGTGCGGGCCACCGGTGGTACGCGCCGGCTTGAACGTGTTAAATAAACAAACAAAAATTGCTAGTTTTATAGATAAAGCTTCAAATGAAGTTCNTGGTAAAATTTCACGCGCAGAAATTAAATTGTGTGGAAGTATCTCAGACATTGAATGGTAAAAAAAAAATATTTTAATAAATATTTGTGTTTAATCTATTCAAATGAAGTATCTGTGATCAAATTTTACGCTAAAAGTTAGCGTCAAACGTCAGCATGAAATCGCACCTTTAAACGTATCAATGACGATTACAGTTGTTTCGTAAATGCACACTTTTAGTGCAGCGGCTCGCTCAGCGAGAGTAGCGCGTCGCAGAATACGTCCGTAGCGAAAGAGTTGAGAATATAAATATATTTGATTGTAAAATTAATTTATAATACACATTTTTTACACATGTACGTATGATTTGTATTAATGTAATATAGCATAAATAGTATTGTATTCAGTCTTTTTATGGATGCTGATGTATGTTACTTTTTATATTAAATCTTTCTAATTTATTRTAATAAAAGTTTAGTTTTTTCAATTTATTGTATTCCGCTAAATTAMTGTTGGTGTAAAATAAATGAAGGTAAAATTTATATATTTTATAAAAAAAAATTCAGCAAAAATAAATGACACAAAAAAAAATTGCATAGAAAAAAAATAGAGGAATAGAATTAAAAATTAGTAAGAAGTGACGATAAGATTGGTAAAATTTGACTAAACAAAAGAGTCCCGATTAGACGTGAGGACGATAATGTTAATTAACAAAATAAAACAAATATTTATTGAATAGAACATATGTGAGATTACAAGATAAATTGTTAATGTATTATAAATATCAAAGTATCAAACAACTTACACAAAATAGGAATAATTTCTAGGTACGATGTTTGGAGATTGTACATAATTTATAAATACACTTCGTTTTTAATATTTAAAATAAATTTTCTTAACGCTATGAAAAATAACAAAATATGTTTTTTAATTAATTTTCTGTATTTCGTATTATATRGAGTTAATTAATTTGAGAAATGAGTGTCTAATATAAGAGTTTACATTGAAAAAATATGTCTATTACCATTAAATAAAATATCATCTACCTGAGATACATTTTTACGGTAAATCTACTTCAGGTTTTTTTTTTTAATTAAATGATTAACATTTGTTATCACATCTGAAATAAAAATGAAATATGTTTAATACTTTTTTCAATTTAGATCTAAACTTTTAAGATTAAATTTTTATGAATCTTACTTGTAACGTTTATCTAACTGAAGTACAGCAGCACTTTATTTGTTCACTTTATTCCTACAATTTGATCGTAATTTGTATCTAGGCGAAGATACTGTAACTCTTTTTAAAACTATACGTGGCTGTAACTGTAAGCAAAAATGTTTATGCATTCAAAATAAATAAAAAAATATATAGACAATATTTTAGAATTTGTTATAAACAAACAATTTTTGTTTGTACATATAATTTTTTACACATTATTAAAATACAGTAAAATTTGCATATTTATATTTGCTACTTGCATTTTTTTGCGCTTTTAAAATGCTTGATATCTTAAGATTTTTTATTAATTTTTTTAGAATAGAAAAAACCAAATAGACGAAATTTTAGAATTTGTTATGAACAAATAAACTTGTTATATATATAATGTTATACAAAATGAGACTAATATATTAAGGGTTTAAAGTACTCACCGAGGTTAATAAAACATGACTAATTAACATAGGTCCTAAAATCAACCCTTTTGTTGTAAATTAACTTTTATTATTTATAAGCTTTTGATACTATAAGGGGGTCTCTAAGTAACATTGAGTTTAAGCAGAAGAATTTGCTTAACAATACACTAGTTCAAGGATCATTTGAAAGTATATGTCAATTTATAATCCGTAAATGTTAGAATTGCATCGCGAATGAAAAGAAGATGTATCAAATATTCATGAATTATACAATGTTTGCATTAACAAAATCATCTTTAATTATTAATAATTTATTTTGACAACCTATACCTAAGAAATTTTTAAGCAAATTCCAAGTAAAAATTCAATATGTTGTCACCAGATCTACTTACGATATAAATAATACAATTTTATTKGCACCRAAAGGRTTGATTTTAGAATCCTATTAATTAGACATTTTCTATTCCTCTCTCTTTTGATAAGTATTATAAGACTTTAAAATAAAACTGATCTGATTTAATTCTGTATAATATATAATATATATAATATAATATAATCCTATATAATATAATTATTTAAACATTATTTACATACCTTGAAATTTTCATTTTTAGATGCATTGCTTGCCTTTTTCTGTTTTAAGATTTTGGAAGATTTAAGATTTTTAAGTGATTTACTTATCTTTTCTTTTTTTTCCTTAAAAATATATAAATTATTAAGTATGCAACTGTTAATATAATTAATGTAGAATATAGCCGAGAGATGCACAGTAAAAATACTTCATAGTAAAAACCATTATTTATAATGTATGTTTAAATCTTTTTAAATCTAATTATATAAAATATCTTACCATMATTTTACGTGAAGTATTAGCATCTTTAGAACACTTTAGAGTGTTGCTTTTTGTGTAGACTGCTTTTTTTTGTTTAGAATCGACACGTTCTCCTATTAATAGTAATACACACAATATATAATTTAATTTATTAAATAAACAATATATTATATATTATTAAAATAGCAGTGAAGACCCAGTCACGTTGAATTACTAGTTCTCGTCAAAAATGCACGATGAACAGCATGTAGTTAGCTATGGCACACGCAGTTAACTAACAATAAGTGTTAAAATAGCGTAATAATAAAATACTTTTTTACCAGTCCGATAATTTAATGGTGGGTATGTATTGCGTTCTCTTAATCTTGTAGCAATATTCAATTTATTTGTAATTTTATTTGTTTGCCTAGTTGTTACTTTATTTGTATCACCTTAAAAATGTTGTATATGATATATATGATATATATCATTAACTCACTATT